AATAATGGAATAAAACAAGAAATTCAAACTTGAAGTAATACTCAGTATTCATGAAGGGGACATAATAGATCTCTAGATCGTAATAAAGAATATTCAAGATTCTTTGATCCAATTTAATAATAATAATAAATGTACATATTATTATTATTAGGCTATAAAAATAACTATAAAATCTATTAAGTTTTTGTCGTATCCACATTATGTTTAAGTGGTTTTAGTTTCATAATTTAAATTAATAATTATTTTAATTATAATAATTAACACCATATAGAATTTATTTGAATAATTTAAATACTTCTTAATAAAACGTAGGAATAGAAGAATAAATATATAAAGATTATATACATACCATTAAACACTTAATATTGAACACAAAGTAAACATTGCAGTATCTTTAATAATTTTTTTATCTTGTTAATATCATAAAAAAATGTTTACATTTTCAAACATAAATTCTGTCTACACACGCAGAATGGAATATTGCTCAACCACAGCCAATCCCTGCATGTCCTTGAATAACACAAGAATTCTTGGGGTATCAAATTAGGACAATATTATAGCGTTGAACTACTTTGGTGTACGCTTGTTCCAGATACATTATTCCACTAATAAATTTTGTATCTTTCATTTTGTGACGCCATTTTAGTCGGTCATTTTGGCGCCAACTTTTGTGTTTGTTATTCGTTGGCTGCTCTCGTCGTTGCTTTCGGAATACGTTTGAGTGCGCTGTCCTCTGTTGTGTATTTTTAGATGAGTTGATATGATATGACATCATGTGATGCTCATTTGAAGAGTGTTAGAACAGTGTTGCTAATACTACTAATGTATTAATTGTTCATATATCGGAATGAAATCAAATAAATATGAATTTATTTTATTTATTATATGATATGTACTCGTATACTCAACAAAATCTGTTTTTTTTTAATTAAAATAAATAACTTTATAAGTTTTAATAAATTTTTTTTAAATAACATTATAAGTTGCTTATATTTTGTGTTATGTCGATATCGAAAATTATTCATAGTAAGTATTTACTTACAGCATCGCAAAAAATTATAAAAGCTAGTCAATTCTTACTAGAAAAAAAATCTATACCTACTTACTAGTATCGTTGTAATTTAAGAATTCTTTTAGTACTATTGGAATCGATTGGACTGTTGCTTTAAAAAGAAACATCATCATATTCAAATCAACTAGAAATTAAGTGGAGTTTATGAGTATAGTTAGGTTGCTGAATAGAGGTCCCGAGCTCCATTAAAAACAAATCAATCCCCTGAAAAATTGTATTGTCTTATCATCAATTAAATTTTACTTAAAAAGGTTGTTTACATTAAAATATATATTTTATTACTACCCATGAATGTTTGAACGCATACTCGTATAATGTATATTAGGTAACATTGGGACTATTGATCTGATTTAATTTATTTATTTTATTAGATATAGATACTCAATGCCTTATTGTGGTATCTTTGCATGTTTGCAATGCAAAAACTACATATATAATTAATTACTTATTTAACTTTAGTATGTCGTGATTAAAAAATAAAAATTTAAAATAATAACCAAGTTATTAATTAGTTTTTTACTTTTTATGAAAAAAAAATTAAATAGAAATATATTGTTTTTTTTTAAATTAAAGGGCATTTGAAAAAGTTTTAGCAATTATATTGTATGTAAATGATTTACTATATATAGTATATACTTGTATAAAACAATATTAAAAATTTGTTCGTTGCTGTTTATTTATTGCTTCAGTAAATAAAATTAAACAAATTATAATTGAAATTTAATAGTAATGAGATTTTTTTACTTTTTAATATTACGGATTTAGTTTCGAAAGGATCTTAGTCATTTGCAAGAGCTCCCCATGAAAAGTATCTTAAGCTTCATTAAACTGGTAAAATAGTGTCAAAAACATAATGAGCTAACAGAGCTAAACAGATCCATACGATCACCGTAA